AGTCAAATGAACGTAAGCCTATAGCAGTGGTAGCTAGTGCATTGTTAGCCACTGAGACCACGTGGATGCGAATGAAAAATGCTATCTACACATCTTCCACGGAAGTTCTGACGCAATCAACATCAGAACTGATTCCATAATATTGATGAAGAAATGCAATATATGCTGTTTGAAAAGAGCCAGCTTCGTTAGGCCTACTCAGTAAACTGCGCCGCCATTGCTGCATTCTTCTGAAGCAAGCAACAACTACGGCTAAATCTGTGAAACAGTCAGAACCACAAGTCGCCTCACAGAGCAGCGGTGACACTAGTAGTTTGTGCATCACCATCCAACAGCAACTGAACCAGTCCTCACCTCGGACCGAGTCACTGAGTCGTCAGAAAAGTGGTTGCTTCTGGAACATTTAACCGAAAGATTTATGGACGTTCCTAATCAGTCATCCACAGTTTGTGGGGATGCCATCACCACACTTCCTCAAGTGGAAATCAGCGATGTGCGTTAGCGGTGTCTCAACACGCCAACACTCTGTAATGTGATACGCCTGACTCCTGCAGCAAGAGTGCGTTACCCTTGGCTACAGCTGTGGTGGCGGGCGAAACGTCGAACTTCAACTCATGCACACTTGACTTATGTGGAAAGCGTGTCGTTTTGAATAGTCAAATATATAAGGAGGGGACTAGGTCATGCATTGCACCCGTAAGGGAATATTTGAGGTTTGTCAGCCACCAAGTTCAACCCAGTCATCAGCAGTCTGACAGGCTTGGACAGTTGACTGGTGCTTATAAGAGGGAGCGAGGCCGAGACTAGGGAATCCATCTTCATAGCAGACTAAGGCATTCTTCACTTTAATATATCCGACGTGTTTTACACCGTCAAAGAGCTCCCTGAGTTGTGGTTTTGTGGACTGTCAACCGAAAGAGTAGCTCGTTTCTTCCCAGAACACAGCTTTAGGCTTCAATGGCTACTTCTCAGCGTGGCCTTTATAGCATTTTTACAGTGCGAGGTCGGATGTACTTCTTCTTATTTTTAAACATTCAAAGCCTGGACCAGACCGTTCGCGCGGTACGTGTTGATGGCCAGCGACTACGCCCACACACACACCCGGTCTTGTGGTCATTGTTTTGTAATCGGAGCAAGGTACGTTTATTTGGTACGACTACGACCATGCCGGATCTAACCGACCTCGATGGTGTCACTGACTAAACCTCTCTATGCGTGACGATCGGAAGCAAAAGCAGTCAGACTTACGCACTATTCGCTTGCACCATCCAGGGTTGCAGAGCATGTTGGTTTCCGCGGATGCCGTATCATGGGTCGTAATGCTGTACTCGGACATATTTACATGAGGTTCCCTGGCAATTATGAGTACAGGTGGTTCTCCACCAGCCGCTAGGTTTGTTTGGTCGAGGTTGTTTCTTCGGGCACTTGCGTGCAAGAACGTAAATGAGAGGCGATGATGGCCAGCAGACTTATTTACCGGCGGTTCACGGCCGCCATGTTACAGTGCCGTAATCGGACTTCGCGGCGTTGTAAAAGGTTTTCGGTGCGCCAGACGTCAGTCCTCTGCGCCCTAGCAGCAACGTGGCTTCTCGTTCTCGCCTGCTTATTCGTCAAATCCGAGGGTCTGCTTATTTCGCAGCTAACCTTCGCGGAAGACCGTTAACTATCTGCGACCTGTGGATGCACTGGATATCCAGCGGCTAAGCTAACGGATAACCCTTCTTCCTGGTTAAAGGAAAGTTAGTGAGGGACGAGGGAGTGCAGTCGATGCAGCGCAAATTTGCCACACTATGAACTAATTCATGTTCAGGTAACTACTATGGACATTTCGTAGGGTACGCGGTGGACATCCGCAATTGCGACGGTCGAGATGTCGTGTTGTACCATCACAAGCTTTTTGAAATATAATCCCCCTTTTTGCTGCAGAATACTTCTATATGCCTGTCTGGGTACTCACAATGCTTTGCGTGTTACTCTTTTGGGGGAACAGTTTTTCACCAGTTTGACTGTCTATTCTGAGGCATGCCCCTGCTATTTTCATGTTTTCTGAATAACTTAACCTATCGTGCACTTATCATTCGTTATGCATGCTATGAAACGATAGAAAACAGTTGGTAAGCCCTCGCTTAATTTCTCACTTCCAAATACTTCCGGTTTTTAAGGCTTCCCATGAATGCCCAAAGTTATTTCGCCGCAGGTATCGGACTCGCCTGTTGGGGTTCATTTTTTTGCGTACGTTGATTTAAGCGCTGGAGAGCTGACAATGCAAATTGGAGATAGGCTGGTATGCCAGTCTGCTTTTTGAAAACTGGCTAAGTAATCCCGGCGGGGCAGCTCCTTTTTTATGCTCCTGCGTACCAGGTCCAGGAACATCTGCGGAAGAGTCGAAAGTCGTGTGAACATTTTCTTGCTCGTAATGTGAATGCCGACTAGTTAATCAGAAAATTGCCTCCATGACCTTTAGCCACTGATTGGTACAGCCTCAGGAATTCATCTGATTAGTGGATACATTACCAATTCCACGTTAGGGTTTTGAAAATAGTTAAGAGGGAATTATTTCAAGCTGTTGTTTATTTTTAATTTTTTACGGAGATTAATGATGAACTCGGAGTAACTCATTCTGAACTAAGGTTTGTCGGCACAGACTGAAAATCGATACGAATATTTAAGTCGAAGTCTATGAACCGCTGTGAGATAACCACGCAATATTCATCAAGCAGCCTACGGGTAGTCAGTAGTATATAAAGGAGCCACACGATATAACATATGGACAACACGGACAATAACTAAAAAACCAGACAAATGTTTTGCCCATATTAAGCCGTTTAACGACACAGCTGCGAGGAATTTGGCTTATGAATGGGCCCTCAGCTCTCCGTCTGCTTTCTGTTACATACTCTAACTTTGGACTTCGGCCCAAATATTCACATCAATTTCGGGTCTGCGCCTAGAAACCTTATTTCAAACGCTAGCTAGCGATAAATTGCTCGCAACATTCAAAATAAAGTTGTTGCTTGAGCATCTACCAGGAAGTTAACAGAAACGCTGGGTGACTCATTGATGAACCGAACTCCTTGCAGCTGTGTCATGCAGCGGCAAAATATTAGTGAAACACGTGTCTGGAGTTTTGGCTATTATTTGTGCGGTCAATATGCTGTATCATGTAACCCCCTGTATTTCAGGCTCTACAATATTTTAACTGTTGCGTTTAACGAAATTTATTTCCATCCACAAAGCACGGTTGGTCAGCAAAAATGGGTCCCTTATTTGTCCGTCTGTATAAGACATGGAAAATAGACCCCCCCCCTACCGCCGGGTAATAATAGTGGTTTTGCACAAAATTTCAAAAAGTTTCAATATTGCCGCGTCTTAACTTTAA